TTCATCGGATTCCGCTTTACGTCTAGTTTGCAGGTCTTCGTCTGCTTGTCACTCATGGCCTTGAGAAGGGCGTCCCTATCAGCAGGTGTTTCTTCTCCAGTAGACATAGTAGCAGATACAAGGAGGAAAAGACGAAAAACCCGAGAAATAAGAAGAAGAGGAGGCGCAAACTTTTCATATCCCACGACTTATTTATAGCGACCTAAGCACGAAAATCTAGAAAGGTTCATTATTGCGCAATAATGTCATTCAATTATTTCATACATGTTAAAAAAAATTTTATTAACCTTGTGTACTTTGCAACTTCCAAAGAGCAAGAGAATCGAGGAACCAAACATGTATACAAAAAATTTGCCAGCACAGATCTTAAGAATAAACAAACGGCTTAGAAATATGACAAAATGGGTCGACATTTTTGTTAACGATCGACGAATTAATTCTAGCAAAGGAGGTGTTTAGACCGATCAATCGAAAGGATGTGCTACAAGATTTTCTACAGAATGACGATCGACCTTGAAGCCGAATCGATAGATTATTAAGTTTTGAGTCAAGTATCGAAGGCATTAAGGCGAGGTGAAAGCCCGACGAATCCCTCGCCAATCATCATTAATCCGTCAGTCTTAATATAATCAAATATCTTTGTAATTACTAAAATGCTCATTTGAAAGCTGATGATCATGGGACTGACTTGTACTTTTGTAAGATTAAGGTTTATCTCAATAAATAGGGGATCTATATCATGAATAAATGTTACACATTCCTGTGATACTTAAGTACATTCTATCTTTCTCTTGATTCTCTCTGCACAACATTCTATGCCTTGAGTTTGTTTCCCGGATACTTTTAAATTCTACACCTCTTATATTTAAAAATATTGAAGTCAAAACCCTCCAAAACCAATTTTAACTTGTGAATGAATAAAAGAATTTAAATAAGTTCTAATTGGTTTATAATGGAGTACAGTGCCAAAATAGTCCTCAACTATTTACATGAAGTCATTTCAGCCTCAAAGTTTACAGAAATGTCAATATAACTTTCAATTATATTAAATTTAACCTCTAATAGTCATTGATGCGGACTATTTCAGCCCCAATTTAAATAGTCTCGAGATTATTTCGATATTCTTATGAACTTCGGGACTAAAATGACCCTATGCAAATAGTCAGGGGACTAGTTTGATATTCACTCATTTATGATGACAAACATTAGCAAAAATGACAAGAAGGCGAGATGGTTTGAACAACTTGTAATCAGTTTGAATTCGTAATATGTTTAAATTATATTTAGAGTGCTCCTACTTCAAGAAATAATTTATGAATTTCAAATTTGTTTGGTTGATTTCAAGTTTGTCTTTAAAATGATATTCATAAATATGAATGATAGCCTGCATATTATATATTTTATAAACATATTTACTCTGACATAGCAAACCTAAATTGATTTTTGAATTTAGAGTGGATATGAAAGTCCAATCTAGCCTATGAGCTTGTTTTATGATGTGTCATTTGTTGGAATTCAAAGATGCTCCAACATGATTGATTATATATAATTTACAGAATTAGATTTATATCATTATGGAAAGAGTAATGCCGCATAAGTTTTGACCCGGATATTGGGTGGGTTGGGTTTGGTGTGGATCGGGCTTATTAGAGTTTTGACCACTCAAAACGGGTTGAAGCTAGGATCTGTTTGGCGCAACTGCAGTTTTCCAGCTTTTCAGCTACAACTGTGCTGCCTCAGGAAGCTGTTGTGGGGAAGTTGCTGTTGGGAAGCTGGTTGGTTGTTTGTTGCAGCTGCGTGAAAACAGCTGTTGAACATCCGTTTCTGGAAAAATGATTATTCTGCCCCTGTTCAAATAAACTATTTGGAAAATAACAATGACCAAACGGGCCCTTGAGCATAGGGGTGCAAACGAGCCGAACATGAGCGAGCCCAAGCTCAGCTCGTGTTCGGCTCGTTTATATTTCGAGCTCAAAAAGTGTGTTCGTGTTCGGCTCGTTCGCTTAGCGAGCTGAACACAAGTCATTCATGAACAAAGAGTCGTTTTGACAACCCTAATCACATAGCCATAAGATGTTAAGGATTGGGGCAAGATTTAAAAATTATTGTTTATACTAGAACATAATTTGAATATAATTTAATATTTTTTATTTTATTTTCTTAATTAATACTTTTAATTGATTAGAAATCTTTGTAGCATTGTAGTAAGCAATTAAATTTCTTAAAAATATTACTCATCAAAGATATATATATACATATATATTTCGAGCCAAAATGAGCCGAACACGAACGAACAAATCTTTGTTCATGTTGTTCGTGTTCGGCCCGTTAACTTAGTGAACGAGCCGAACACGAGCTGTTCGTGAACATCGAACCGTTTTGACAGCCCTACTTGAGCACCATTTCTATTTAAAATTTCATAGTCAGACCCGTCCATTAAATGAGACGTGTCATCTCACGTGCCTTAAGAAAATAGCAATTTTATCATTATAAATTAAAGTTTTGTCACATGAATAAAATATTTACTTATTTTTTTTTCTGAAGATCATGACCTACTTTATCATCAAATTTGTTTATATGCATGATAACATTAGGGTTTATATTCCACTTTAATAATTTATGAAATCAAAATCATTCAATAAATAATGTTAGGCTTTATATTCGATCTCTGACGCTCAAATTCTGTCATGTATTTACATGACTAGCATTCAAAATTTGACATTTACTTGAGAAAGATTTACATGCATGCCACTCCATTGCTATGCATTCACTTATCTAGCACAGTTTAATTTTTATTTATATGCATATTTATATTAAAGATTTTCTTTTTACAACCCCTTTTATCAACACAACCTACTGAATTTGTTGTAGAATAAGAAATTTTTGAAATATTATTCAAGACATTTCATTAAAGTGGTTTTGCAAGTTTTGTTTTTCGATAGATGTAGATTTATTTCCCTCTTAACTTACATGTACTGCTTTCTACAACATGTGATATTTGATATGTCAAATTGCTAGCATTTATATGCTTCGTATCAAAATGTGTCAAAAATGACAAAAAATGGGAAGTTGCAGGTGATTGTGATTGGGTGGTTATATGTTATGTGCAATCAAGTGGAGTTATCAGAGTTTTGCACCTATCTAAATATTCATCTGTGCATTTGATACGCCTGAACACAAGTAAAGATAAGGTGAAGTGAATTTATAAGGGACATATGTGATAAATGAACAAGTGAAGGTATAAAAAGGTGAAAGGAAAATATTAATATAATTTAAATAATGTAATGAAATTTTATTTTTATGTTATTTTCCTGCACTTATGATATATGTATATTTTTTTTACTATTGAAAACCGCAATAGAATTCGGTTAGTCTACTGAGCTATGGTTGCTTACTACACATATATTGTTTTAGGAAAGGGTAAGACTCATGTTGAGTAAAAACTGTTACATCACTAGTGAGAGTCAGATTTTAGTTATACAGTATCTTAGATCTAGTTTGACAGTCGTGGTGATGTTTGTTTTTTGATGATAGAGAGATTTAACCATGATTATTTTATATATTCTTTTGTTGTATATTTTATGATCTGAATGAATTTTGGGGTATTTTTATTCTATACATTTAATAATATTAATGGGTCTGTATATAAAACTTGAAGAAAAATAGGAAATTAAGATTTATTCTAAATAGATCTTGGGTAATAATTTATCTGTTATGGCCTTGACACGGGGCAACCCACATCAAATATGACGAGTTGCATCGAGTTGAGTTATGATATCTTTGTTACTAATAATTTAATCTGTTATATTGCAATTTAGAAATTCATACTTTCATGTATGTTCATGCCCTTCCAAATATACATAATCTTGCTCTATTAGCATCATCATCACTTGAAATACTACCAATTGTTTCATATCCTTCAATAATAGGAGACAATTCTACCTCTAATTTCAAAGTTGCTTAAAAATTTTGAGTTGAGCTAATCACCCGTCAAGTAATCATAAATAAAATAAATTTCAGACAAAATAATGATAATTTTAAAAACAATCTCAAATTCATTTTAATAATCCACAATTTAAAAATAATATGTGATTCTATCGATTAATCCATGACAGCATGTTCGATAAATGATGTGATCTTCTTTCTAAGATGGAACAATCTCCATATCATTATAACTTTATTTGA